GAGAAGAGAAGAGCAGAAGAGAGAAGATCAGAGAAGAGAAAGAGTGAGAAGAAAGAAGATGCAGGTGCGCGAAAAGGTAGAAAAGTCACAATTCACTGTGTCTTTCCAATGATTTGTGGCTGCGGAGGGTCGAAAAGTAGGCTCGCTAAAGCGGCGGGTGCGGAGCCATGTGGCCAGATGAGAGATGAAAACTTGCACGCCGTTGTGGCGCGAAGCATATTTCCAACTCAAAATGTACAAAACACACCATTCTGGGACCACTTTTGGAGGGTTGAGCTGTCGAAAGTGCACGCCGGTGTGGCGCGAAGCAAATTTCGAAGTCAAAATGCACGAAACATCTCAATGTCGAAGCACTTTTGGAAATTGAGATGTCGAAAAGTGCACGCCGTTGTGGCGCGAAGCACATTTCGAAGTCAAAACGTACAAAGCACACCACCTTCGAAGCACTTTTGGAAGTTGAGATGTCGAAAAAGTGCACGCCGTTGTGGCGCTAAGCACCTTTCCAAGTCAAAAGTGCAAAAGCTGACGGGTACGGATCACTTTTGGACGTTCAGATGTCGTTTCGCGTGGCCGGCGCAAGGGACTGTGCACCTTGTCAAAAGTGAGCAAGACATGAAGGTTTTGTAACAGTTTCAACTAAAAGCACCACTACACTACACCCCACTCCACTACACTACAGCTACAACTACGACTACGTTTACGACTACAGTACACTACACTACGCTAATTAAATTACACTCCGCTCCACTCCGCTCCACTCCACTCCACTCCACTCCGCTACACTAACTACAATTACAACTACAGCGATAACTGCAACTACACTACATTACACTACACTACACTAATTACATTACACCACATTACACTCCACTTCACTTAACTACACTACTCTACACTCAATTGCGCTACACTACAACTACAAATACAATTACGACCACACTGCATTACACTGGACTACGCTTATTACATTACACTACACTAATTGCATTACCCTGCGCTACACTATTTTACACTACACTACACTACACTACGCTACGCTACGCTACACTACACTACACTACACTACACTACACTACACTAACTACAGCGACAACGACAATGACAACTACAGCTACACTACATTACACCACACTCCACTACACTACATTCCACTACACCACACTACACCGCACCACACCACACTAGACTAGACCAGACTACAGCAAGCAACACTACAGCACACTACACTACACTACGTTACATTGCACTACACTCATTACACCACACCACAGCTACAACTGCAAATGCACCACACTAATTAAACTACACTACAACTACAACTCCACTACACTACAACTACAACTACAGCTGCATTACACCACACTACATCCAGCAGTTGTGGGTGAGGTGACCACTGCAACCATTGCAACCATTCCAAAAAAACACAACTCCAACAACGTTTCGGTCCATCAGTGGATTCGCTTTGCCGTCCATGCATCACGACAACTCACCTCTCCTATAGTGCCCTATCTTTGAAACTTGCGCCGCTGCCTTGTGCGGTACTACTGGTATCAATGATATCAGATTTTGAGTTGATGAAAGACCAGCTTGTGTGGGGTAGTTCTCAGCCAGATTTCAATTCAGAACCAGCTGATTTAGGAACTGGCTAGTGCCCTCAGGTGTCATCAAACATGGCTGGGAAATCCTGGCCACTAAATGGAGGTTTGGGTGGGAAAATATGGGAAACCACCTATAAATCATGGACTTTCCAGCAAGCCATGTTTGATTCCCATACTAACGGGTAGATCATGGTATAGATAAGCTCTTTATGGGGCAACCCATTTATGAAATGGAGAAATTTTCTAGCACACCCGGCTCAGCTTCGGTGGCAAGTGCGCCTTATGTTTTTTCTTTGTTGGTAAGGCCCTAATTCCTGGAGTTATCCCATTTATAGCTTGGTTACAACATGCTATAGCCCCTGCTAACAGGTTTCTTCTATGGTAAACCCAATCATGAACCCCCATTTACCCCCTAAACTTGCCGCCTGGGGAATATTGAAAACCGTGCAACCTTATGGATATGTCGTTGGAAATGGGCTAACGCCCTGGTGCCGCCGACCCCTTTAAAAAATGCTCTTCAAGGCTTGGCACGTGTAGGGCTTTGGTAGAAAAAAAGGTAGCAGTCAACAGTTCATGCTACGAAGGTTTGACATAGTTTGGGCAGGCGGCCTGTAGAACCAATGGTAGCAAGCCGCCAAGGGTTGCGAAACTGTTGCAGCTTCAGCCCCAAAACTTCCTTTTTGCCCACAACCTTGTCCAACCTTCCCGCCTGTTTCGCCGCTGCTTGCCACCTGCAAGTCTACAACGGACCCACTTGCCCGGCCCGGCCTGCGACAATGTCTTTTCAGTTCTCAAAACTCTCCTTTGATTTGGCCCCTTTGCTTCTACACGCCCATCCCTAACCCCTCTTTTCCCGTCTTGCCACTCCGGATTGCCATCTTTGCCTCTCCAGCAAACCACCTGCCCGCCTGTTTCACACCTGCCCAGCACCTGCCAATCTCCGACGGCCGGCCCTATACCTGCCACGCCATATAAAGCCCCTTTTGCGACCCCTGGCGCGCAGGGTTGAAGCTGCAGCGGAGCGTTTCAAGGTGGAGAAAAACGTGCCGAACGGCAGTTTCGAAACCTTATAGAAAGGAGCTTTTGGGGGTTGAAGCTGCAACAGTTTCGCAACCCTTGGGCGGAAGCTGCTGCGAAGGGTCGCAGGGCAGAAAAAGTTTGCAGGGCAGAGCGAAACGTTCCGAACGGCTGTTCCGAAACCGTATATGGAAGATATAGAAAAAGGAGGTTTTGTGGCTGAAGCTGCAACAGTTTCGCAATCCTTGGCGCAAAGGGCTGAAGCTGCAGCGGGGCATTTCAAGGTGGGGAAGAACGTCGTGCCGAACGGCAGTGTCGAAACCGTATAATAGAAAGGATGTTATGCGTCAGCGCAACAGTTTCGCAACCCTTGGGCGAAGCTGCAACAGTTTCGCAACCCTTGTGGCGCAACGGGCTGATGCTGCATCGGAGCGTTTCAGGGCTGGGCGAAGCGTGCCGAACGGCAGTTTCGAAACCGTATAGAATGGAGGTTTTGGGGCTGAAGCTGCGACAGTTTCGCAACCCTTGGCGCAAAGCGCTGCCCAGGAGCGTTTCAAGGTGGGGAAACGGCAGTTTCGAAGCCGTATAGAAAGGATGTTTTGGGGTTGAAGCTGTAACAGTTTCGCAACGGCTGAAGCTGCAGCAAGATGCAGCAAGGGATTTCGGGGCCGGGCGAACCGTGCTGAACTGCAGTTTTGAAACCTTATATAGAAAGGAGGTTTTGGGGCTGAAGCTGCAACAGTTCCGCAACCTTTAGGGGCAAGGGCTGAAGCTGCAGCGGAAGGCTTCAGGGCGGGTCGAAAGGTGCCGGGCGGCAGTTTCGAAACCGTATAGAGGAGGTTTTGGGGCTGAAGCTGCAACAGTTGTGGAACCCAGAGCCAGTGTCGTACACCTTCGGTGATCCCAGGCGCAGCCCCGCCAGGCCAAGGCTAGGCAGGGGTCGGCGGAAATTTGTTAAATCCCGATTGGCCCATAACTTAGCGATTGTTTAGAACTGTTTTACACCCCAAACCAGCAATAGACAGGGATGATATCCCAATTGCCATTTTTTCCTACCCCAAAATTGGGATTATAAACCATACCCCCCCCAGTAGATAAACATAGATACGATATGATATGATCAACCAGATATGTAGATAATTCCTTTGGTTTCCGCATGACTTTTCCATATTGTGCTGTTAGTTTTCTGCAGGGCATATCCCCGTTATTATCCCCCTAAAATGGAGCTAAAATTGTTGTGTCCCCATTAGATATCCATTCTCGAAGGGAGTTTAGAGGTCAAACTTCCGACAATATGGCATAATGGACAGATGGAAAAGCAGAGGTGTGAAGCGTCAGAGAAGAGACAGGAAGAAGAGAGAAGATCAGAGAAGAGAAAGAGTCCGAAGAAAGAAGATGCACGTGAGTGAAAGAGTAACAGAGTTGCGAAACACTGTGTTTTTCCAATGATTTGTGGCTCCGGAAGGTCGCAAAGTAGGCTTGCTAAAGCGGCGGGTGCGGAGCCATTTGGCAGGATGAGAGATGAAAAATTGCACATGGCTGTGGTGCGAAGCACATTGTGAAGTACAAATGCTAAGAATACCTCAACGTTTTCGAAGTCAAATGTAGAAAGCACTCCAGTGTCGGAGCACTTTTGGAAGTTGAGATGTTGAAAAAGTGTACGCTGCTGTGGTGCGAAGCACATTTCGAAGTCAAACGTGTTAAAAACTGCCGGTCTCGGACCACGTTTGGACGTTCAGATGTCGTTGCGCGTGGCATGCGCAAGGGATTCGGCACCTTGCCAAATGTGAGCAAAACGTGAGGGTTTTGTCGCAGTTTCAAAAGCGTTGGCAGGCGGGGGACGTTTGAAGAGGATCTGCAAGGATGCATTTCGCGTGGCAGGCGCAGTACAAGAGACATGTTCATCAGAGATGTTAGGAGGTCAGGGTGCAGATTTCCTGAGAGGGGTTGTATTTTGGAGTGTCAGATCTTCGATCAGGTTTGCTAAGATGATTTTGCGAGACAGGTGCAGCACATCGTATGACCTGGCTTCATTTTTTTGTGGCAGGCGCTGTACTCTAGACAGATGGAATGGAAAAATCGCAAAACGCATTGGTACGAGGCCGTTAGCTCTGCACTCAACGAAGTCTCGCAGAATTGCTTCGTTTTGGATGCTGCCAACTTCGAACACTGAGGACGCCTCGCAGAATTCCTTCGTTTTTGACGTTGTCAAGTTCAATCTATGCGGAAGTCCTGCAGAATTGCTGCGTTTAAGATGTTGTCAAGTTCAAAACTTGAGGAAGTCTTGCAGACCTGCTGCGTTTTGGATGTTGTCAAGTTCAAGAATTGAGGACGTCTCGCAGAATAGCTTCGCTTTCAAGCTTGCTGATAGACAGATAGACAGGCAGAAAGATGGATAGGCCAAAACACAGAAAGAGAGATAAGCAGATAGACAGATAGATAGACAACTACACTACACTACACTACACTACACTACACTACACTACACTACACTACACCACACTACCACTATCACTACCACCACCACTACCACTACCACTACCACTACCACTACCACTACCACTACCACTACACTACACTACGCTACACAACACTACACTATAATTGATTACAACTACAATTACAGCCACAACCACGACAACAACTACAACTACAAGTCCAACTTCAAGTACTAATATAACTACAACTACTATAATTACCACTACACTACACGACAGCTGGAACTACAACTGCGCTACCACTACAACTACGCTACACCACACCACGCGACACGACATGCAGCAGTTGTGGGTGAGGTGGCCACTGCAACCACACCAACAAGCACAACTCCAACCACCTTTCGGTCCATCAGTGTGGACTCGCTCTGCCATCGATCCATCACAGCATAGATAGATAAATAGTTAGATAGACAGATGGATAGAAAGATAGATAAACAGATAGACAGATTGACAGATAGATCGATAGATTGATTGATTGATTGATGGATGAATAGAGACATGGAGAGATAGGAGGATGGGCAGCCCGACAATCCAACCATTTGTTGGTCCAGCAGTGGAGTCGCTCTCCCATCCATGATTCACAACAACCAAACTCTGCTATAGGTTTCCTATTTTTGAAGCTTCAGCCACCGCCTTGTGCGGTACTACTGGTATATATTAATATATGTATGTACGCTATATCTCAATCTACCCAAATGGGGACTGTAAACCAGCCCTCCCACAAGAGTCGGGTCGGTTCTCTCCTTGTGGCATGAACCAAGGTGGTCCATTGAATCAGGCAGTTCAACCTGCAGTTGGAGCTGGTGGAAGAAAGAAGAAATGGAAAACCAATGGTATCCTCCAATGATTAATCATGGCTATGGAAGATGGCCCACTGATAGATGGTTTACCTATTGGAAATAGTGTTCTCCATAGCCAACTGGTAAATTGCCAGAGGGTAGATTTGACTTATAGATGATGGGACATAGTGGGCTACATGTATATGACCATTTGCGGATCTACCAATGGAGACATAGATTATTAATGGTCGGTTTGGTGATTTTTTGATGGTTTGGAATCTGAATATTTCCTGATGTTAGCGAGATTATCACCGGGGTGCTATCACCAGGAACCAGAACCACCAACCTGCCCACCACCAGCTGACCATCCGCTCAGCCGAAATTGGTGAATTGTGTAAGGCGCCCACTTGCCGCAAGACCCAACCGGAACCGCACCCACACAAGAATTGGTAAATGGATGAATTTTGGTCAAGTCATGAAAAACCATCCAGTTTCTTGCAGGCTCATCCAAGTTTTTCATCCAAAGCTACATGCCCAACAAATGTTCGACGTACATACCGGTGGGATCCACAGATGTTGCACATGTGTTCGCTTGAACTGCGTTCTTTGAACCCCTGGTGGTTGATGCGTTTTCTTTCTCCTCTCCTTTATATTTTGGGGGATAAACAGAAACAACTAATCATGATATTATCATCAACTATGACAACTATGATTAATTTCATCATTTCATCAACTGCAATCAACCTTTCAACTATGGAGGGGTATTATCTGAAATTTGAATGGGGGTTCCCCAATGAACAAATGAAAAAGCAACCAGTGGCCAGGAAGAACTGGAGGATTTGCGAGGAAGCAAAGGACAGAGATGAAAGCAGTGGTATATCTCATAGTTTTTTTTGGCATTTTGTAGTCATTTAAAATGACATTTTGCCAGCCAAAACTGAAATTTGATGGGATATTTAACCGACAATATCCAATGTGGGGATTTTAAAACAGAAAAGCTTTGGGCTATATTGGGATATAATTAGACATGAAAAGCCATTTATAGCCATTAAACTGGGATATAATGGGATACAATGGGGGATAAACATAGCCACTTATGTCTGGGATACTTCATGGGGACATATTGGGTGCATTTTCTGGGATATTAGCAACCAAGAGACATGTGGGTTGCTACCCGAAATCTCCTGGCTAAACATCACATTGCCAATTCAACTGTAGCAATTTTGCACAAAAACAAGATGCAACCCACGAACCCGAATGCTCACACGTATGTTACTGTCACAGATGTCGAAGCACATGGATATGCAGCCACGTAGAACACTTTTGTGAATCAGTTTATTTGAACAGTCGTGTACATTTTTCCCCTGTAACCATACCAGTACACCGTAGACTGTGGAATATGGAAGAAGGTGGCGTGCAAAGTGTGGAGGGTAAAGTGTAAAGTGTGGAGTGTGGAGTTTGAAGTGCAGAGTGTAAACTGTCAAGTGTAAAGCGTGGAGTGTAAAGTACGGAGTGTAAAGTGTAAAGCGTGGAGTGTGGAGTGTAGAGTGTGGAGTGTGGAGTGTAGAGTGTAAAGTGTGGACTGTAAAGTGTGAGTGTAAAGTGTGGAGTGTAGAGTGTGGATTGCAAAGTGTAGAGTGTAGAGTGTGGAGTGTAGAGTGTGGAGTGTGGAGTGTAGAGTGCAAAGTGTGGAGTGTAAAGTGTAAAGTGTAAAGTGTAGAGTGTAAAGTGTAGAGCGTAAAGTGTGGAGTGTGGAGTGTGCAGTGTAGAGTGTAGAGTCTGGAGTGCGAAGTGTGGAGTGCAAAGTGTGGAGTGTACAGTGTAAAGTGTGGAGTGTAAAGTGTGACTTTTGGAGTTTGGAGTGAGGAGTGTAAAGTGTAGAGTGTGGAGTCTGAAGTGTAAAGTGCGGAGCGTGGAGTGCAAAGTGTAGAGTGTGGAGTGTAAAGTGTGGAGTGAGGAGTGTAAAGTGTAAAGTATTGAGTGTAAAGTGTGGAGTGTACAGTGTAAAGTGTGGAGTGTAAAGTGTGAATTGCGGAGTGAGGAGTGTAGAGTGTGGAGTCTGCAGTGTAAAGTGTGGAGTGTAAAGTGTGGAGTGTGGAGTGCAAAGTGTGGAGTGTGGAGTGTAAAGGGTAGAGTGCGGAGTGTGGAGTGTAAAGTGTGGAGTGTAAAGTGCGGAGTGTGGAGTGTCACATGTAACATGTGGAGTGTAACGTGGAAAGTGGGGAGTGTCGCGTGTAGAGTGTGGAGTGTAGAGTGTCAAGTGTAATGTGTCAAGTGTAAAGCGTGGAACTGTGAAGTGTAGAGTGTTGAGTGTGGAGTGTGGAGTTTAGAGTGTAGAGTGTAAAGTGTAAAGTGTAGAGTGTGGAGTCTGGAGTGTAAAGTGTAGAGTGTGGAGTGCGGAGCGTGGAATGTAAAGTGTAAAGTATGGAGTGAGGAGTGTAAAGTGTGGAGTGTTAAGTGTAAAGTGTGAAGTGGTGAGTGTCGTGTGTAGAGTGTGGAGTGTGGAGTGTGGAGTGTAAAGTGTAAAGTGTGGAGTTTAAAGTGTGGACTGTGGAATCTAAAGTGGAGAGTGTAAAGTGTAAAGTGTGGAGTGTGGAGTGACAGTGTAGAGTGTAAAGTGTAGAGTGTGGAGTGTGGAGTGTAAAGTGTAGAGCGTAAAGTGTAGAGTGTAAAGTGTAGAGTGTAAAGTGTAGAGTCTGGAGTGTAGAGTGTAAAGTGTGGAATGTATGAAGTGGAAGGGGTGGAGTGTGAAGTGCGCAGTGTAGAGTGTGGAGTGTAGAGTCAGTGTAGAGCACGCAATGCGACACGTCTGAAGTGCTGCGCCTGCCACGCAAAATGACGGCAGAGATCTGCAAAATGTTGCGCCTGCCACGAAAAGTGCAAGTCATCTTGTGAAAAGGACGCAAAAGTATTGCGCCTGCCACACAAAACGACTTTCGACACGGTATAAAACAGGTTGGAATGTCACAAAGTGCCGCGCCTGCGAAGCCACCAGAAAACCAGAGACTCGAGACGAGACAGGTGGGAGCACCAAAACGAGCATTTCGTGCGAGACTTCCGCGCTTCCCCCATAGACACGGCGAGGCCACAGGAAAACCAGAGACTCGAGACGAGACACGTGGGAGCACCAAAACGAGCATTTCGTGCGAGACTTCCTCCAATTTTCACACTTTGTAGCTTGAAAATCGACGTTTTCCTACGACTTTTCTCAGGAACCTGAAATTCTGCTACCTCAAAATCGATGTTTCGTGCGGGGGTTCCGTCAATTTTCAGCTCATCTCAGAAAATGCCACGCCTGCCACGGAATTTGCACCTTGTCGCCATTTGACGCAGCCCTGCCAATGTGATTTGCAAAAAACACGCAACACGACACATCTAAAGTGCTGCGCCTGCCACACAAAATGACGATGGACACGTCCAAAGTGCTGCGCCTGCCACGAAAACTGCAAAGCATCTTCTGAAAACGTCGCTAAAGTATTGCGCCTGCCACACAAAACGACTTTCGACACGTTACAAAACACGTCTGAATGTCACGAAGTGCCACGCCAGCCAAGCGAAACGAAGCAACGGGACGTTTGAAACCTCCAAAAATGACCCCTTCTGCAGAACTTACCAAAGGCACGGCCATACGGGGATCGCGCGAACGGTTGCGAACAGTTGCGGACGGTTGCGAACGGTTGCGAACGTAAATGCAACGTCGAGCGAACACACCCTCAGCCCCCAAACCCCCAGAGTGAAACGGGAACCCTTGCTACGCATTCCGGAAAAATGGACCTGTCGATTTTGGGAGGTACCCGACAAGCTGTCAACCTGGCGATTCAACATCCCTTGTAACTTTTTTTTCAATTGTCCCAGCTATAGGCCTTTATAATCCTTTATATATTTAGGGCTGGGATTTCTCAGCTATATTTGATGACACCGGAGGGTATGCCCCGATTTTCATATGAACCCATTGGAGAGACCGAATCATCTAAGTCATCCAAGTTTGGGTCACGAAATGGATGTGGCACACAGTTCAAGAAAACAACCCTCTGGTGTCAATGAACGTGGCAGCGGAAAATCCCAAAACAAAATTTGCATTTAAATCTCACAAAATCCATCGATCAATGGGCGAGTGTCCATAGCCATGTTTGATTACCAGAGTGTAGACAAAAAAGGTCAAAACCCATCAAGACCAAACAGTTGTTGACAAGTTTTGGTCAATTGTCACAGTGTATGGCGAATGTCAACTCCAGGTGAATAAACCATGGTTGATTAATTACTGCCGGGGTTTGCCCCAAATAATTGTTTTATCTCTTATAGGAATGATAGTTCTGCCAGTTAAACACCCCACAAAGTTATTGATCCGGAGTTGACATTCATGCCAAAAAGATCCCAAAGATGTCATCTGCACCATCCTCCAGTACCATGGGCTGATGGGTGTTTTTTAAAAACCACCCCCAAGTTTGGTAGTGAAGTTGCGGCATTTGGTTGCCCCTGACCCGGGGAAAAACCAGGATACAAAGCCGCCACGAAGTTTACGATGGAGGTGCCTCGTTGCAAGGAACTTGTCATGGCGACGATGAAAAACGGTAAGTGTAACATTGGTGGTTTTACACTAGCAAAACATGTTACATATATAATTTAATATATAAGTAGCCAAAGGTTTAAATATCAAGTTGTGGCACTTTTTTTGCTAACCCATGAGCTGGTGATATATTCAGAGAATTGGATCGGCCGATCACGGAGATATTGAGACCGACCATATTTCCACATGAGATTCCCATTTCGAGGTGAGCCATGAAACTACCCCTCTTGGTTGGTCATCATAGCGGCGCCTTTCGAGGATCTCAACAGCAAAGAGCCCAACGAGAACCTTGCAATCGACATCCCAAAGCCTGCGAATACAGAGACTGGGGCTACTTTTAAGGCAGTTCGATAGCTAAGTTCGGGTAAACTCCAACTGGGTGAACATCAGGGTTTGTGGTGGATGGATGGATGGATGGATGGATGGATGGATGGATGGATGGATGGGTTTGGAAACGAAACAGTGCGTGGGGGGCGACATTACAGGATCTATGGGTACTATCCACAGGTTTCTTCTTCCCAACAGTGGTGGTCCAGAGATTGAACTTTTAGGACCAGTGCTTCTACTGTTGGAGGTGCACTTGGTGTTATTAATGGTATAACGGTACCCTTTGGTATTTTAACATAGCTATGGAAAATGGCCCATTTACAGATGATTTTCCCAGCTAGAAACCTCCATTTATAATGGATTTTCCAGCTCGCCATGTTTTATTACCAGAGGGGATAACATAGTGTAACTAAGGATGGTACCTTTCCCCCCCTTTTTGGGTTCCCCAAGAACTATGGAAATTCCAGGATCCTAAAATGGAGGTACTGTACCATATAAGGCCATATTTTGCTGTGGATATTCCCTTACATAAGCCTTACATAGGCCTTACATATGGTAGGTACCTCCAATTTAGGTTCCTGAAATGGCCACTGATATTTACACACAGACATAAACTGTTTCACTGCACCTCCAAGTAGGGCATGGCGTCATCGCCAATTTGCTGATGGTGTTGCTGTTGTGCAATGTTCCTACGGTTAGTCTATGGTTCATCTATGGTTAATAATGGTTGCAAATGGTTAATCTATGGTTAATAATGGTTATTGAGTGCCCATAATTTTCTGCAATTATATTATAGGAATCATTAAATATGGAATACAATTTACTCTTGACCTTTCATGAATTATAACTGTCCATATTTTGGGAAGGCGGACACACCATCCAACAAAGGGAAACAAGAAGGGAGATGGAAGACAATGGGAGACAACGGGAGACAACGGGAACAAAGGAAAGCAAGAAGAGAGACAATGGGAGACAAGGACACATATGGGGAGACAATGGAAGGCAATTGGAGACGAGGGGAGACAAGACCTTGGGAAGGTGGACACACCATCCAACACAGGCACACATGTGGGGGGAGAATGGGAGACAAGGGGAGACAAGACCTCGGGAAGGCGGGCACACCAACCAACACAAGCACGCATGTTGGAAGACAATGGGGGACAACGGGAGGCAAGGGGAGACAAGACCTCGGGAAGGCGGAGGCACTATCAATGGGAGACAGTCGGAGACAAGACCTCGGGAAGGCGGACACACCATCCAACAAAGGAAACAAGAAGGAGACAAGGGGAGACAAGACCTCGGGAAGGCGGACACACCATCCAACACCAAGGCGGACACCTTAAGAGAGCATTAAGAACTCCTAACCGTTTTCTGTTTGGGGAAAAAGTTATAGTTTTCAACGTCAAAATCGATCAAAATTACATGTCAAGATCTATTTTGAATTTTGCAACGTATGGAATGCCGAAGCTTCCCCTAATATCAATTTAAAACCCTTAGTCAAAAAACGTGCTTTTCCATGTTATAAGGCGGGCCCTAATGAAAGGTGTCGGACCCTGTTGCGGCCATGTCATTGAAACCATTACTATGTCGTGTTGGCCTACATGCACATTCCTGACGTCCCTAATAAAATCAATAGGACGCATGATGATAAACCGTACATGAATGACACTGGATGGCGTTGCACAATGTCGTGTGCATCTTGGAATCGGTTTCTCCGCACAAGTCTTGGGATGTTTGCTTTGAAACTGTCAAAACAATGGGATGTTGCATCAACAAAGAAATGTTATGCCTGATGTTCCTGCAACGCCAAGTTACTGGCTTTGCCTATGTAACAGTAGGTCAAGAGTACCACCCATGATCAACTCTATCTAAACCTGATTGGGTCCATAGGCAAGTTAGCTGTTGAGGGTTCATTGTTCCGGTAGATCAAATATTTTGTTTTGATGTACCATAAATCGACGCAATTTTAGAGCGAGGCCAAACGAGGTAACGAGGTGGAGTTAGTAGATTAGGAGTCCCCAGAAGGTTCAGTTTCATCAAGTTGCTGGAGTAAAACAATATTTCACGTTCCCAAAAATTGATTTTGAGTGGACTGGAAGCAGTGCAAGCATGTGTGAAAAATGGTTCCTAAAAACCTGTTTTTTTCTCCCGGAAAGCCCGATTTCATCTCACAAGGGGTCATTCCACAAAAAGGGAAATCCACAAAGGGAATTGCAACCTCTCATTTCCGATCCACAATCGCGGTGAAAAAATCGATTTCATCCCACTAAGGGTTCATTCATTCCATTAGATTCCACAGGGAAATGCGAAAAAACAATTTTCAGGGCCTGAAAGCCAGGTTTGTCTGATGGGTGGTCCGGGGACAGAGAAAGCAACATCCCATTTCCCGTCCCACAAGGGCTTCAAATTTATGTTTCCCAGAATCCCCCTTGTAGCCAGGATCCACAGGTGTAGTGGTGCAACTCCCACAGGTGGGTGCTCCATTCCCTGCAGCCACAAGGAAAGAATGAGAAAAGGTTTGTGGGAGTTGATCGCTCAGAAGTCCATTCTCATGGAAGTGGCATTGCAGGAGTTTTGGATCTACAACTCGGCTTTTGTGTATGCTTTGTCAGGAGAGGAGGATGCCAGGTCTCGGGTTCCAGAGCTGTCAGCGGGAAGGGCGGTCAAGATTCAGAGATGACAAGCCCAAACCGGATCGAGAGAAAGTGGCATTATCAGAAGAGGAAGCCGAGAGAAAGGATTTTGCGGTGCAGAGCTCTCGGTGGTTTAACCAGGCGAAGCAATAATTTGGAACACTATTTGACGTGGGGAGGCATTACATCAGTTAACCTATATTTTTGACCAACGAGGGAAATGAGGTAAGATTTATTTGAAATATCCCAGATAAATGTTGTCACCATCTTGACACCAATACAATCTAAACCTCATATAGCTATGAGTATGTAACAATATGTATTTTATGTTTCGTGGTCTCTATGTAGCCCTTTGTTGGGCCTTGAACACGCCGCCGCACAACTGACGAATGACCTTGCCTTCAAAATGTTAATTGCTTTTCTCTTCAAAGGCAGGATCTGATCATGCATCCAGAGAGATCTGACCATGCAGGAGATTTGATCATGCATCCCCAAAAAACACGCGTGGCCTTCTACTAGCCGGATGCGTACTAAAAAACGCCCCAGGTCAACTAGTTTTTGTTATTACAGGGTAGAACCTGCAAATTGGACCTTGATTCTTGACTTGTTTTCTAAAGGGGATCAACTAAATTAAACTGATCAATCTGGCTTTTTCGAAAAGGAACAATCTGGGGTAGCGTTCATTATTTAGGGGAGGTTTAGTAATAGGAAGAATGGATTACTTCTCACCAGGCTAGCCGCTACTACTTCGAAACCTGTGGTGGCACCATTTTTGTAAACGGTAGAAACTCGTCAACTCAAGTCATTGTGTGTGAAATTTCAGGCATCACATGGCATCTTCCCATTTTGCCGGGTATATATCCATGTATTTGGCGGTTTCCAAAGTCATGGGGTACCCCAAATTATCAATGTGTCTGATGGATTTTCATCCAAAACATCCAGCTATTGAGGTACCCCCATGACTTCGGAAACTTCCATCATCCCCCCATGTGTGATCTAATTGCGGGACTTTTTTCAAAGAGACGGCGTCGCTGAGGAGCTTCACCTCACCCTTTGCTCCAAAGATCGGCCGGGATCCCAGGGATCCGCAGGGGCCACATTGGCTACCCCTGTTGATGATCAGTTCGGGGCTTATACTACCATTTATTTTTTGGTCTCTGATAAATTGTTATTTTCACCCACTCAGAAACAGTTAGTCGCTGCCAAAGTGGTTTGTGAAATCCGTTGTTGACCAACCAGTAACCATTTCTTGGATTTGGGATGCACAAAAACACACTGAAAACTAGGGAGCGACATGGTAGATTTATGTATAATGTGGCAGGGTTTAGATGGATTGACGATTTTTCCCACTAAAGGTTGAAGAGTTTTTGCAAGGCATATCGACGACACACCAACCCTGCAGTCCCCTTAATGGGAAACACGGTGGCTTTTGGGAGATCGGGAGAGCGGTTTCCCATCAAACAAGCCAAACACCTAGTGCAAAACCAGCATATTTTCATTTTTCGGTGAAGTGCTATTACTATCCAATTAATATCAGATATCCAGTCATGATTTATATAGATGTATAGAGTCCACCCCTACATGCTGTTGCTGTGTCTTGTCTTTCGTACATTCAAGCCGTAAAGCATTTCTACTATTTGGCTCAAGTAAGCCCTTCATTGAGTGGGTGCGTTGGTAGGCTGTGCATGCCCCACTCAACAATATCCAATCAATATCCCATTACATCACAGTTTATTAACATCCTATTCATATCCCCTCTGATAGCTATTTCATGGTATTTTTTTCTGGCTATATTACTAAGATTTTCGACCCATCCAATTGCCAAAAAACTTTTTTCCCATCAAGTAGTATTATCAGAAAAGCATGGGGGTCAACCAACTTAATTAATACCAGGGGCCTCACCTTGCATTGATCATACGACCAGTAAGTACCTAGAATGAATAAGAGTTGAGGCCCCCAAACGATAGCTAAGTTGACTTTGAAGTTGGTTAACTATTGGTTCTATGGGGGATACAATATGGTTTTATAAACCCAGACACATAATTTTGGGGCATCACCTTGTATAATTGCATTCTATCACCCAAAAGATATATGCTTTCCCACCAGCAAACTATAATTAGCAAAAGAAATGGGATTAAACTTACCTACAACTGGGGGCCCGTGGCCTCACCTTGTACTGAGTTGACTTTTAACCTGGTTAGCTAGTGATTTTTTGGTGATATAACTACGTAAGTTGAAGGATGTTCAAGGGTTTATTAGCCAAGAAACATCACCGGGGGGCCTCGCCTTGTATAATTGCATCCCGAAAAAAAGAAACATGTTTTCCCATCAAGTAACTATAATCATTAAACACTGGGGTTAAACCAATTTATAACTGGGGGAGGCGCCTCACCT